TATCACGATCTGTACTTGAAGATGGATGTACTACTATTAGCCGACGTGTTTGAGACATTTAGGAGGACATGTATCAAGCAGTATAAACTAGATCCAGCATGGTATTACACCAGCCCAGGCCTGTCGTGGGATGCCTTGCTTAAAAAGACCGGAGTTAAGTTGGAATTGCTTACTGATTATGACATGCACCTGTTCATTGAGAAAGGTTTGCGAGGTGGGATCTCCATGGCAACCAAACGATACGCTAAAGCAAATAATCAATACGTGAATGGCTACGACCCTAGCAAACCAACCAATCACATTCTCTATCTCGACGCAAATAACCTGTACGGATGGGCCATGAGTCAGTATCTACCAACAGGGGGGATTCAAATGGGTATCATCCGATTTCGATATTATGAGCATCGCGCCGGATTCGAACAAAGGTTATATCCTCGAGGTTGACTTGGAGTATCCCAAAGCATTACACGAATCACACAACAGCTATCCGCTAGCTCCCGAACGTATGAGGGTTAACCCAGACTGGATGTCTGAATACCAACATAACTTGTTAGATAGGCGGGTGACGGGCGTTGAAAAACTCGTGCCTAACTTAATGAATAAGACCAAATACATAGTTCACTATCGCAACCTGCAGCTGTACCTGTCGTTGGGTATGAAACTGACCAAAATACACAGAGTGCTGAAGTTCAACCAGAGCCCATGGATGGAGCCTTACATCAGAATGAACACGGACCTCCGAAAGCTTGCCACCAGTGACTTTGAGAAAAACTTCTATAAGCTCATGAACAACTCGGTATTCGGTAAGACGATGGAGAACCTGAGGAAACGCGTGGACGTGAAGCTGGTTCGGTCGAATGAGGAGGAAAAACTCAGGAAGCTGATCGCTAACCCTGCATTCAACCGTAGTAAGATATTCGATAACGACCTGGCTGCCATACACATGAAGAAAAGTCACATAATATTAAACCGGCCTGTTTACGTTGGGATGAGCATCCTCGATTTATCCAAACACTTGATGTACGACTTTTACTACAACGAGCTGAAGAAACAGTACGATGACAGGTGTGAAGTGCTATACACTGACACGGATTCCCTGCTGATGGAGATTCGAACCGAGGACGTGTACGAGGACATGAAAAAACACCTCGATTTGTACGACACCAGCGACTATCCCAAGGACCATACCATACACAGCACGGTGAATAAAAAGGTCCTAGGTAAGATGAAGGACGAGTGTGCTGGCACGCCCATAGCCGAGTACATAGGGTTGAGGCCTAAGATGTACTCCATACTGAAGGCCGACAATGGTGAGATCCGGAAAGCTAAGGGTGTAAAAAAATACGTGGTGAAACAACACATCAAACACGCCAGATTCAAGGAAGCCCTGTTCAAGACCCGTACCTTTAAACATAAAATGAACACACTTAGAAGTGATGGGCATAGGATATACGGGCTGACTATAAATAAAACATCATTATCCCCTATGGATACCAAACGTTGGATAGCCATTGATGGGATAAACACGTACGCGTACGGGCATGAGAAAATTGAACCAAGAACATAGGTATAAATAAATAGTGACATGTCACGGAACCAGAAAAAGTTTGAGGCTATTTACTATAGTCCGCGTGGGTATTGGAAAGGAGCTAGCGCTGTAGATAAGCTAGCTAAAATGGCTCGAGTATCCCCGGAGGAGGTCAAAACATGGCTTGAAAAACAAGCACTTTGGCAGATATATTTACCACCACCACGCTATGTGCCTAGAAGGAAGTTTGGTATTAACATACCTAATAACGTTCACCAAGCAGACCTGCTGTTCCTACCTCACGACAGGGTGAGACGTAAAACCTACAAGTATGCCCTGACTATCGTGGATGTAGCCAGCCGGTATAAGGAAGCTGAACCATTGACCACGAAAGATTCTGCCCAGGTAGCTCAAGCCATTGAACGCATATACAAACGCAGTCCACTAACGTGGCCAACAGAGCTCCAAGTTGACCCTGGTCGGGAGTTCATGGGTGTTGTATCACAGTTGCTGACTAAGCACAAAGTACGAGTGAGACGTGGCACGGTTGGAGCCCATCGCAGCCAAGCCATAGTTGAGAGATTTAATAGGACTTTGGCTGAGCGTTTATTCGGGTATCAGTATGCGAGAGAAATGACCAACCCAGAAAAACGATCGACTGAATGGGTTGAACGGCTCCCTAAGGTGGTGTCTGCCATAAATCATGAAATCACACGACTCACTGGTAAGAAGCCGGCAGACGCGCTATAAAATTAAAATCAATAATAGCAGAGTCGGCTGCTCCATTGCGTGGGAAGGAGAAACAGATACCAGATAGGGTCCCTAGTGAGGTATCTATACCAGCCGGGGAACACGAGGGGGATAGCCGGAAACGAGCCACTGATCCTATATGGTCAGTCAAAACTTACAACATAGATAAAGTTGACATCAAAGCCGGCGAACCTACCTTGTATTTCTTGAGGGATGGGCCAGGCAGAGGGTTTGTAAGAGAAGAATTATTGATTGTACCGTATGACACAGTATTACCTCCTGTCAACACGACATAGAGGCAAGATACCACTATAGTAGAGGTAATGAGTAAGGGTCCCCAACTAAAGTCTTATTTGTGAAATAAAGCTTTGTAGAGGGGTAGTAGATGGTAATGGGAAGGGTCCGACTAAGGCTTCATCTATTAAATGAAGCTTTAGATTACCCTGATAAATAACGTGTTTCCCAAATGGATTGCTCCTCAAGGTTTAAGAGCGTTTTAAAATATTTATACAACTCGTTCACAGATACATTTTGTGGTATTTCTTATATTTTGATAACAATAGTTTTAAATCGATCTGCAGAAAGCGACAGTCTTTGCTTCTTGCCGCTTCAACAATTTTATTTTTTACACTTACTTCATAAACTTGCTTCATTTTTTTAAAAAACATTTTGGAATTTTGTCTTACCCCTGAAGTACTGTGCTGTTTGTTTTCCGCTGCGTTTTTGTTGTGTACAGGGCCTTGTGGGGTGACGTTGTCTTCCATTCGGATTGCCTGTTACTTTCATCGCATCATCAATAGTACGCATGCGAAATTACTCATCACCATGAAACTATTTACAAACTTGCCTGTTTCAGTAAAAATGTCTTGTGAGCTGCAACGAAATCAACCGATATAGGCAAGCCAGTGGCCCTTTTAACATGCCAGTACATTTACCATACGATGGCCCAATAACGTTCTTCGTACAGTTGTCTATAAACTCTATCACAGCCGGGTTACAGGTTAAGCATAAATTCTCTGTTTTACAAATGTATTATTGGCCCCACAAATAAAAATCTGTCTGTCTGCCTAAAACATGGATTAATCATGTTTGCACAGAGGAAGTGAGTGATGTGGGTTTACACCTCTTTTGGCCAAGTTAAACCACAGAAAAGGTCAAACATTGTACCTATGTGAAGAATTTTGCCCGGGTTTCAGCGTGACGAGCGAGCGCTTAAACTACGACGCTCTTTAACATAAAAATACATCGACGACCATACCATTGCATTGAGAAACAAAGTTACGTGTAGTCTGAAGACGGTTTTGTTACAATACTAGTATTAATGTCCTAAAAGTGGGATTATAAATACACATCCAAACAAAGCGTTGATCATCAAAGTAAAACAGAATGGCAGTGATGATAACCTCGCCATGTAAAGAGATTTGAAGGTGAGCACTGCTTGGTGGTCGTTGGCATTTTAGGAAAGCGAAACTTGAGCATCATTGTGGCTCGGATTTTACAAAAAGTAAATTCTTGTTTACAGCTGGGTGTTCTGAAACTAAATGTTTTGCTTCGGACACCTAATGACAGACAAGATACATTAAATTTTCTTTTATCGGCAACACATGAAACATAATCTTAATCACCGCTCAGAGATATCTTCACAGAAATAACCCATTCTGTGCGTCATTAATATTTGTTCTGTTCAATAGATTAGATATGATCATTTTAGGCGTAGACATTATGCGTTAACGACATCTCACGCATGGATATATTAAAAACGTTATTAGAAGAGTAATCTTTCATGATCAAAGAGATAAAAGCAGCGCACAAAAGAAGGGACTTTCCTATTTGACACAGGTACAAAATGATAAAACCGAGTATCCACTGCTATGGAAAAAATAATTTGTGTGTGTGTGTGTGTGTGTGTATCTAGACTATGATATATATAATGTATTATGACATTATAATTAATTAATATGATGTGTGCAGCATGAACACTGTGGGCGAAAGCTGGATACAATTACTGTGGTGTCCATTCGCTTTGTAAGGAAGATGTGTGCGTCCACTGTTAAGAGCTGTGGTATTACAGGAAGCCATGTTAACGCTAACAGTTCAATGTACATGCAAGTATATTGTTTATACCCTATGATGTCATTTGGATTGTGACCCTAAATATTAAATTCAGAAAGAAAACTTAAAAAACATGTAACATATTTACTGTTGCTACCATTGCGTCAGAACTATACCTGGGACATTTAAGTTTGCATAGAAGGGTAAAGGAAAGGGACATGGTTTAGACCATAAGTAGGTTATGCCGACTGACACAGCAAACAGGGGGCATCTGTTTTTCTTCGTGGTGGTGTAAATCAATACCAAGTCAGCAATGTAAGGGACCGTTCATAGTTTATGGCTAGGGGGAGTGATGATGATTTTAAGGGGGGAGGGAGGGGTTCACCCATTTTGTTCTTAGGAGGAACATGGGAAATGTGGGGAGGGAGGGGAGAGTACATGACATGCCATGCAGGGGGGGGTAACTTATTTTGTACATTAGTGTTAAGGCGGGGGTAAATCAATACCAAGTCAGCAAGTCATCACCCCACCCGCCATAAATTATGAAGTCCTTAGCTTTGAAACGGGTAGAGGCTTTGTGTTGCAAGTCAAATGAAAGATAACGCCGATTCGAGAGAGTCAAACATATTGAACGGTTGCTCCTTTCAGTGAAGTATCTTGCACATGTTCTTAAAACATGTTTTACTCATCAATAAGTATCACTGTCCTCTTGGCAGTTATGAACGTGGTTTGTAGTGACTGTCCGAGCGGCTTCCTGCGCCACGACGACTCCTGCTACAGTCTCATCCGTGTCAAAGCATCGTGGGCAGAGGCGGCTGTGTACTGTCAGGCTATAGGCTCCCACCTGGCTCGCGTGAAGACGGCTTCGGAACAGACATTCCTTGAAGGTTATCTCATACGAGAAAACTCTACTATAACGACTGACGGTGTCTGGATCGGTGGTTTGACATACCTGGTACCCAGCGAGTGGCAGTGGGGATTTGAAAATACCCGGATCGCCAATACCTGGTGGGCTCCTGGGGACCCAAATAAGGCTGTCACCCAGCTCTGTCTAATGTTGTACAAGAAAGAGGCCTACCGGTGGGACGACAATGACTGTCAAAACAGAGAATTTTTTCTGTGTGAGTTGAATCTCGGATCGTCCCCTGAGATAGTGGGGAAATAACATCGCTGCTGGAACAAGAAAAACAGAGGAATGAAAATATACTTCAAACGATCCTTACTGTTTTCTCAGAACAATTTGCTGAAATTTCTGTGCTGTTAATTCGTGAATTGGCTGTTCATGTGTATCAACGTACCGCGAGTCGACTGTTGACACAGCTTATATCAGTGCACAAAATGAACTTGATATATGATTCTGTTCACTTTTCAAAACTATAACTCAATGTATTAACATCACGAATGAATAATAATGGAATAATAAAATAAGTAAAGTCTTTTCATTCTTTTCAAAGTCATTTACTTATTCCACTGCCTCGCTTGTGGTCATATGTCACCTTAAGCATACGGGATCTACCCTTTAAAATTCCTTGGAGTGGCCTGATGTCGGTAGGTATGCCATGTTTAATTTCGCTTTAAAGACAGGAATGCCAGTTGTATGACTAGCCATTAAATAAATGTTATATAGATAGCTGCAAAAAATCCATAATGCTTCAAAATTGTATCATCTATTATGGCCACGACATTGTAACATATCCTCACCTGGCCATAGCACTAAGATCGTAGCAAGACAAACATTCTTCTTATAGACGGCCTTTATAATCTTGATTTTGGATGGTCCATGTTAGTTAAAGGTCACATGCAACCAAAAAAATCAAACATAATTAAAACACAATTATCACTTCTTCATGACATATAATATGCATTGCTGATTATGAAAAAACAAATAAACAAAATTATAAGCGTATAATCGCAAATCAAAAGTGCAATATTTTGTACTTGGGTTTACCTCCCTCGAAACGAAGCAGCCGGGATACCGAACCCAGTCAGAGCGGGTGGGTGTGCACTCAAGTGTAACGGCTGGTTCAGTAGCAGATGCCGCCTTCACGGCTCATTGTGTGTGTATATATAGAGATGTTAGGTTTTGTAAATACATGCTCATTTTTTGTGTATAACATTTTGCAATCAACAGACATCATAACATGTCATGTGTTCAAGTATCACACCTGCCTGTCTGTGTAATTACATAATGTGACAGAGACCGAACTCGGGCCATAAATCAACGCGTTTTGTTTATGGTGTATAGCCTGATTGGTGTTAAGTTCAAATTGCATGTGGTCAGTGATCGCAGTTGTGTATTGAATATTGTCATTAGCAGACAGGCAGGCAGACACACAGGTGTCAATAAAACAAGACATTGAGTTTTGTCTGTGACAGCGACATATCTATATCACAGTTAGAAATTCTGTCAACGCTAAATAATGACATTGCTTTTAAGTATCGAACTGAGAAAGTGACTCGGTAAGAAGAACGTGTGGTGAAATAGACAAATGAAATTATATAAACAGTTTATTTACTGTCATAACATATAAAAAGCTCGCGCCTGTGAGATATCAACAAAACATTATGAAAATAGCTCACACCAAAGCCTTCACCGAGTATTCACCAGACAGCCCGATTCCAAGTTGCGCGAACCTATTTCACTGCGCACGTGCTATGAGCGCAGCCCAGCTGTTGAAACCCGTATTCCCCAGAAAAGTCTGGGGGAAAATTAGTGAAACGTTTGAACTCCGATTTCGCGCGTTTTTTTTCATCGCGTTATTTTTCAACTTTATAAGTTGAATTTGCATTTTTTGACGCTTTGCTTCGGTAAGTCCATACCAAAAGGTATCAGAATCTGCAAAGTTGTGTTTTACGTTGCATGTGACCTTTAATGCATTCACATCAAAACCATTCTTAACGTCATTTTCTGACCGCAGGCTCTTTACACATCTCAGCACTTGAAATTTCATTGCCAGAGTGAACATAGAATCAAACAGGTGTAGTGACAGAAGTCCTTGGCTGTATACATGCTGTTGAGCATGTTATGCTACCTAACTTTGGGCGGTGGGATAGCCTAGTGGTTAAGGCGCTCGCTTCTCACGCCGAAGACCGGGGTTCGATTCCCCACATGGGCACAATGTGTGAAGCCCATTTTCTGGTGTCCCCCCGCCGTTATATTGCTGAAATATTGCTAAAAGCGACGTAAAACTAAACTCAATTACTCACTCACCTAACTTAATTGCGGGCGCTATGAACACGACAGCCCTTAATATATGCATTGTTGCTTCTGATATCAGATTTAATATCTCAAAAGTTGCAAAAAGGGCAAACTGTTTACCTCATGTCATCCCATGATGACTTGCACCTCAGGTGAATTGGCAAACCAGACATTAGTACATCGTCCGAGCCAATAAAAACAGCACAATGGGACAACCAGAGACATAGCAACACCTTGACTTACATCAACAATGCGACACTACACAGTGATTTTGGTCAACGTTTTACTATCGGACACTAGAATACACTGACACACTACAATAGTAGTGGTGTGTCGATTCATCGATACGCATCGATGCATCGATCCATGGGCCGCCGATACAGTGAATCGATATACAGTTTTACATTTTTGTATATCCCGATACGGTACTTCAAATGAGCCATGATACATCAATGTTTACCCTTGTTTATTGCCGAATAGCGATATCTGTCAAGAAAAAAGACTTACTTTTGTTTGAAGATTAAAATATATGCTTACTCATTTTCCCTTTATACGTAAACGTTTTCTCGGAAATTCTTGCGCCAAGACTGACTGACTGACTGAGTTTGGTTTTACGCCGCTTTTAGCAATATTCCAGCAACATCACGGCGGGGGACACCAGAAATGGGCTTCACACATTGTGCCCATGTCTTGCGTCAAGAACTGTGTCAGACATAGCGCTCGCATGTTATCAACATTCAACAAATCCGTGTGTAAACTTAATTATCTCGTTTCCGAATGAACATTGAACAACGCTGGCGGATTTTGACGAAATACTTTAAAATGTTTTTTTTGCTTTGATCTTAAGGTGTTTTATAGTTGGTGTTAGAATTAAGGATTTTAGTATCGTGATAGTATCGTATCGCCACCCTTATATCGGGATTCGTATCGTATCGCAGCTTCAGTGCACAATACTTTGGCAATAACATTTGACTAAAATTTTAGCATCATGATATATCCTATCGCAGGTTGCATGCCAATACTAGTAATATACAATATGACCAGATACTACAACAATTTGATACACTACGGCGGTCATGCAGACAGTCCAACAATTTGAGACACAGACGAAGATTAAGACCCACCAGTCTTGTGATAAATCAGGGTTTTGTAAACTTTTAGACACAAGGGTTTTAGATGCCATAATCCACATTTAATTTTCATACTTGTACAACAGACACAATGAAGCAAGCATATACACTCCTTGTACGTCTAGAGTTTCGGTATAGCACAAGAACTTTCTTTTGTTTTTGTTCAGCGACAGTGCATTCAAGTGAGACCACCATTAGATGTCTCTGGTATTCTCGTGAACACAAATCCAACAGTTTTGGTCTGTCTTTAACGAACGAAATGCACGTGGCCTTTGTGAAGGCATTTACACTGAACGCGTAGTTGAGGTATCATTGACACGTCGACATGGGCACTTTAATGATCCGATCTTCCGGGTACAAACAACCTTTACATCTTAAGGTTTTGGTTGGTCTAATGGTCATGTAAATCAGTAATCTGTCTGCAATATTGACAGAAACCTGTCACGTGATTAACCGGATGTAAATATATCAATGGAAACGATAACGACCCGGCTGGTGGCAGACCTGACCGTGGTTTTCTGTGATTTTCCAACTCCTATCCGCATCACAACGACTCCTGGTACAGTTTGATCAGTGTCCAAATAACGTGGTCAGAGACGCAGTGTACGGTCAGGCTAAAGGCTACCAGCTCCCACGAGGAGACAGACAATACAATCCGAAGAAACACTGTGATGGTCATTTCAAAAGTGAAGACACAGCTATAGCAAGAGATGTCTCCATCGGAGGTGGGCCTGACGCAGAACGACAAGCTTAATATCGTGTATAACATGCCTTATTAGGATCGTACGCTAGGGTACATTACAAACCCGCAAGATGCGTTGGAGCATGTACAGTAATCGTGAATAGTGATACAACAATGGAAGGATATTCTGACACTTCCACTGTCTTTGGATTTCTCAATGTACAACACGTTACAACAATGTTATCACGTCTGAAACCGTCATGGATTAAGATATCTTATAACAGTATTTCTTTGAATGATGGTTAACTGTTTAGCTGATTACGACCGAGGATATCAGTAAATGCTGCAATCACTTGTCGATATTAGAGCTGGTCTCATTTTGACATGTAATATTCTACTACTATGAAATATAGAAAATACTGTGGTCAATATGGGCTTTACACACTGTATCCATGTAGGGAATCGAACCCGGGCCTTCGGCGTGACAAGCCAACGCTTTAACCACTAGGCTACCCCACCGCCCCACTTCTACAATGTAATTCGGACATGTGTAAAAATGTGTTTTTTAGTTCGTGTCTAAAGAATTTGACAGTTCCTGTTTAGTCCAAGAGCCCGGGGGTGATTTTTGTACCGAGAGAGGCCAAAATGTTTGACATGTATTCTGATGTAAAATTGACTCACGAATCCAAAAATTTCAGTCTTACATATCAAAGCAGTGGCTTTAGCCCACTAGGGGGCGTTGAAGCGATGACTCAGCATTTTCTTCAGGTATACTGCTGCATCCTTTTAAATGCCATTTCCCAACTACAAATACTCAGTATTTCACCCAAACTGGTTGCAATGTAAAGAAGAAAGATAAATGTGTAATTTCACAAAATAAAATGTTTAACAGTGTGGTATGTAGAGTAATGACATATTGTTTTTCTTCGTAGATTTACAATTTTTTGTCATTTTACCACCTGAAGTTCAGTGTAATGAAACTAAAGTATAATATAATACAGTATTTAAGGCTTTTAATTATGTAAAAATGTGTAAAGGAATTCAAATATATCAACAAAATGCATATGTCACTCAGGGTTAGTGTTTTATCTAAGATAAAGAGTGTAAGGGTAATTCTATAAAATCACTCAAGGGGAGATAACTCTGTAAAATGTGGTTTTCAGAAAGAGATATAACTTGCTTTTTATTCTATATACATGTAGTTGGACATATATTTAAAGAGTAATTAATCACCAACATTTCTTCATGTTACAAAACAGCTCATCAGGCCAGTAAATCATGCATGCATGCACGCACA